CGCAGCGTATTCGTGTTTACACAGCTTGTTCGCCTCTTCTAAGCTCCACTAACTTTCTTGGCAAAATTTAATTTTAGAAAACTAATGACAAAGCTGTTCCCCAGACTGCAAGGAATAACTTTGTCAATCTCCACCCCCAGCAGGCCATTAATGGAACACTAATATGTTTTGACATACAGGGGCACAATTGAATTACTTGGCTTTCATTTAGTCTTGCCTTCCTTTTTCTCCCCCACATTCTCGTCTGTTTTCATGTTCTCAGTTGGCCTGGAAAATTCCAGCTGGGAGTAGAGCCAGGGACTCATGATACCAGCCAGCTAGACAAGTTCCCTGAAAAGGAGCTGAGCTCCTCAGATGTGTCTGGGGAGGGTCCTGTTCCCGCTCTGATCATCCCAGGTTCCTGGCAGCCACAGATGCTGTTGTTTGTTAGGCAAACTTTACTTAGCAGAGCAGTACTCTGAATAACAATTGTCCTGATAAAAGTCAGTGTCTGCTGAGCTCTTACAGTGGCTGGGCATTTTTCTAAGCATGTCACCTGCACTGACACACTTACTTCTCATCACATCCCCATGAGAACAGTGTTACTACCCCTACTTTACCTGCAAAGAGACCGAAGCCAGAATTTCCTCGTTCACCAGCAATTGGGAGAACACTTCTCCGGCCCAGCCAACCTGCTTTGCAACCTGAGCGCTTTCCCTCCTCTTGAGCCATCTCCTCTGAGATGTTTACTCCAGGGTCCAAAAGGACTCTGAGGGATTTCCATCATGGCGCCTGTGATTGAATGCCCTGAAGTTTGTTGATTGACCTGATGTGAAGCAATGTTTGAGAACTGGTTGAGTATCAGGGACTCCCATCAGAAAAGGGGGGGCTTAAGTGTTGTGGTCACCCGCACTAATAAACGGGGGTCATGGAGCAGCTGTTGGGCACAGGACGCTGCCAATGAGAAAGATCTGGGCCGTTTTTGATGGAATAATCACACAGCATCAGTTGTGAGGGAAAGGACAGCCAGAGAAGGGAGGGGGAAGCTAGATGACGTGTTCTGTCAGCTGTGGTATCGGGCAGTGAGGCTGCCTCCAGGTGCTTTCCATGTGCTTGATGACTCAGGGTGGTAACTGCGACCCAGCCCCATTTCCTCAGCCAGGATTCCAGTCTTATCAACAAGGTGTCCACTGATGAGCTTCTGGGGTCCCTTGTCATCCATCCGTCCTCAGCCCTGTGGGCGTTCCTGGTCATACCTCCTGATGTATATAAGGGAGTGTAAGTCGGGAGTAGGTCTATGCATCAGTCAACATGTGTTCCTCCCCTACACCTCCCCTCCCCCAATGATGCACACCCTTCCTGGGGTGATCAAGCTTTCTGTAACTTGAGTGATTTGAAAGGCTCCTTGCACTGTTGGGCTTCTATTCTGACCTTGTATAAGAATGCAGAACCATAGGTAACAAAAATGGTGGCCGAGGGCCCTCCCTGGTGGCAGTGGGTTAAAGCACAGCACCGAGAAGCTAAAGCCACTTCAGCATGAGTTCGATCCCCATCCTGGAGGTGACCACATGGCCCAGCAGACCTCTCCTGACCCGCCCGCTGCTCCCCTCAGCTGTGTACTTCGTCAGCCGGCCTGTTCTGCTCCCCACTCTGTCTCTGGTGAAGCCTCTCACCACCCCTGCACCTCTGGCCTTTACCTCAGTTCTGTATGCATAAATAAATAAATCTTTAAAAAAAATGGTGGCTGAACAGGCCGCTTGGGATAGTAGACCCTCAGTGAGGCAAGCTGCTGCTGATGGGGAGTTTCGGTTCTTGGGGAAAGATAGGAGTTGAGACCAAGAGTGGGAGAATGTAGGAAGGAGGACAGGGCGAGGGGTTCCTTTCTGCTATCTCTTGCTTCATGATCTTGCTGGAGATGGAGCGAGGTAGTATGTGAATTCATTTGGCTCCTGCGAAGTTCTTTCTATGCGGATGACAATTCCTGTTGTCTTTGCCACTGTAAAGCAGGAGGATCAGTGGAACCTGAGGCTCAGGAGGTGACCGTGTGTGCTTGGGAGGGGGCGGAATTCAGACAGGGCGCAGGGGCTTGGAATTCGAGTTAGGAGGTACTCACTGGGTAGTCATGGGAAGCTCCTGGAGGACGATGGCTAAGACTAGGCTGCAGAATCCTGTAGCAGCTGCTGTAGCCAGGTCTGGAACCCGCAGCCACCGGGGGGCGCTAGAGTCACTGTCCTTCACCAGTTATCTCAAAAAATGTTGCTGGTGGGAAAATACTTGCTAATTATAGTCTCTGCAGGTTCAGTGGGGTGAACTTGGGAAAGGCCAGGCCCCTCATCTGCCGTGGAGGTATTCGGTGCTCTCTTAATGACTTGCACTCTTTCCTGTTTCTCACATCCAACACCTCAGCACTTTTTGTTAGAATCCTGCTTTTGCTCTTGTCCTGAGTTATCATGTACTTGCATATTGACATGCTTTCAAAATAATTATTTTTCTAAAAATGATTACAGTCCATGTAAAATAATCCCCAAATCCCACCACATGCAGATAACAGCTTGGAACAACGAGTGGAGCATTTTCTGCGTTTACTTCTCAATGCGCACGCAAGCGCCTGAACTCTCCAATTTACCCGGAGAAGATTATGCCATATCTCATTTTCCATGACTTTTTCTTCACTTAGCACTTGTCCCCAGGCTGGTCTCTGAATAAATGCAGACCTGTCTGCACACTCACTTGAGACCTTAGCCCCGTGCTGTCTTGGATGAATGTACCAGGCCCCTGGCCAGCCCCTTGTTGACCTATTGCTGGTCCGAGCACCACATGAACTCTCCCGACAAATCCATGGGATTCTCGGCTTCTTACTAGAAGGCTGTGAAACCCACAGTGTCCATGACTCAGCTCTCAGCCCCTGACGCTGCTCTTAGTAGCCCGGTGACCTAAAAGTCACGTGACTGTTCTGAAATCAGTTTCCTGACCTGTAAGTGACAGAAGGTGAGGTGTTTAAGGTTTGTTCTGCTCATTTGCAAACAATGCTGTCACGCCTGTCTCCCACCACAGCTTCATCCCCACATCAGTTTTATTTATCCATCCAGCACAATGCCTACCACACAGGTGATTCCCCTCTTGGGGGCAATGAATTGTTAATCAGAGGTGTCTTCTGACCTTCCCCTCAGAAACACCCACCCTGTGGTTTCACCCATTGGCTTAGTGGCCAATGCAGTGAAATGCAACGTTTTTACCAGTCTTCCATCTCACTCTAGAATGTGTGTGTTTATATGTAAGTCTGTGTGTGAGGAGAGTATTGAGGGGACATGGTGTGCACGTGAATGTCTGCAGTTGTTATTTGAGGGGTGCGGAGAGTGGAGTCTATATGCTGAATGCTACTGTATTTTGCCCTCAGTGAAGTTTTAGGTCAAGTAATGAGATTAAAGATTATTTGTGTTCCGTTATTACAATGAATTCTTTCCTCCCTCCCTTTCTCCCCTCCTTTCCCACCTTCTTTCCTTCCTTCCTTCCTTCTCTCTTTTTCTCTTTTTCCCCGTCTTCCAGTTCCCCGCCTTACTGAAATTGAGGAATAATGTTATTCTTTCTACTTTAGTCAGTGATGACTTTTGTCTCAAAATGTAAGAAAGAAGAAGCAACCCTTTGAGAAAGTTCTCTGAACCACTGAAATTTAAGTATACAGTGACATTCAAGGACAAGTGGGGATGTGGGGTTTTGTTTGTTTGTTTGTTTTTTATGTATATAGAACTGGGGTACAGGCCAGAGGTGCAGGAGCGGTGAGAGGATTCACCAGAGACAGAGTGGGGAGCAGAACAGATCAACAAAGTACACTGCTGAGGGGAGCATTGGGTGGGTCAGGAGAGGTCTGCTTTGGCCTGTAGGTCACCTCCGGGGCTGGGGATCGAACTCGTGAAGTGGCTGAGGCTAGCTTCACAATGCTGCACTTTAACCTGTTGCACCAGCAGGGAGAGCCCCTGGGGATGAGTTTTTATATTAATATATTGAAGAAATATTTTTAATGCTAGCTGTGATGTTGAAAATTGTACTAATAATACCCATGATTAAGCCATTTTGAAAATATTATAGACCATCCAAGGAATCCAGATAAAGACTTTTTGAGGGTAAACAGAACTACCTTCCAGTTGTTTAGTATTTGTCCTTAACCACTTGTATAGAATTCCTTTAAAAGAAATTGCATACTAGGCCCTCCCTGGTGGCGCAGCGGGTTAAAGCACAGCACTAACAAGCTTAAGCCACTTCCGCATGAGTTCGATCCCCGCCCGCCCCGGGGGAGATCCACATGGCGCGGCAGACCTCTCCTGACCCACCCGCTGCTCCCCTCAGCAGTGTACTTCGACAGTTGGCCTGTTCTGCTCTCCACTCTGTCTCTGGTGGCTCCTCCCACCCTACGCATCTCTGGCCTGTACCCCAGTTCTGTATGAATAAAAAAAAATTGCATACCTTATTTCTTTCCTAAAGAAAGAACACTGGCATATTTAAATTTTTTAATTAATTGGGGTATTTAGAGGCTCATCCCACGCTCCCCACTGTAATGTACTCCATCTGAGAAGTGGTCACAGATGAAGTGGAGAGAGAAACTTCAGTCTCAGCCCTCTGTTTTCTCGATCTGTTAGTTTCTCTGCTCTTCTGAGAGTTTTACAGGTACATTTACCGAGAGTACTCCTTTACAGCTTTATTTTGCTTCTCATAACTTTAGATTAGCTTCACTGAACTAACTCACTGTCGAGTGCGACACACAATCCTATTAGAATCTCTAATAAATTAGTGGCAAATATGAGTGACCTTCCTGTTTATTTCATTATCCTTGCCCGGATTTCAGAAACTTGAGATTTCCGGAGAAGTGTTGTCCGGATAATTTCTGTGTTGGTAAATACCCCACGATTCTAGTTTGATGGCAGTTTTTGGAGCATAGAGAGGCTGTTGCCTCTAGTCCCTCCTGCCCTTAGAACACCCAGCCCTAAACTCTCACTTATGTCTCGCCCTTTGCTCTTGTTTTGCAGCCCCCAGTCTGTCCCAGACCGCCTGAGAATCCGGGTGAACAAAATCAGCTTGCAAGACTATGAAGGGTTCCACTATGACAAGGAGAAACTCCGGGAAGCCTGTGAGTTGGAAATACCTGCTTGGTTTCATGTATTCTGCCTCCTGTTCACCCTTAGTTTGATGGGTACATTAGTCCGATGCCTCAACACAGTGGCTGGAGAAGGGAAGGGAAACACAGAACCCTCAGTGATGATAACTGGGCTGAAGAAGATGGAACTAGAAAGAAAAGGTCTCCTGGTTTATTCATCACGTTAGGCTCAGGTCTGTCTAAAATGAAAAGACCAGATTCAGGGAAATCATATGGTCTAGAAAATGCTGGAGACAACACAAACCCCTTTCTGGAGTCCGCATTAAGAAATACTTTTTTCATTCTTCATGCAGATGTGACAAAATTATTTGTGGAGTCACATCCAGTACTTACAGCTACTGTGAAGTTGTACCATGTCCAAGAGAGTTCCATAGGACATGCTAGTGTTAAGATAAAGGGATGCATTGATGACCAGTTGCCAGTGCTTCTGAAACTGTAAATGGAATCAATACAGGAATGAGTTTTCAATGCTCATATTTTCCGTATGCTTCTGTACATATATAGTTTTTGACTTTGTTCTTTCCTTACTACATATTGGGAACATTTTCGATTCCAGCACTATGTACAGCCCTGTCTGTGTCATGGTGATGTGGTAACTGGCCAAGTAGGCAATAGGAACTTAGGTATAAGGGTTCTGGGCTCCTTCATCATGGTGGGCCCAGAGGACGGTGCGCTGAAGTAAGAGAAGGTGGGGCAGCACCCCAGGGCAGGTGAGGATGCCAGCTGGAGAAGTACTGTGCAGAACCCTGAGATTCTTAACTGAAACCCAGCATGGCCTCCAGGCATGGGCCCCCTGGGGCTAGAGAAGAGGGGAGAAGTCAAAACTGGCAGGAATGGAGCGGAGCATGCATCCTAGGTAACGACTTCTGCCTTTGGATGCTTGAGCTTGTGGTCTGGAGTGGGCTGAGTGGGTGGGGATCTTGCAATCTGGGGACAGTCTCATATGAAGAGCAGAGACTTTGGGGTCTGGCTGGGACAGAGAGCGTGGGTCGGCCCCCAGGAAGCCCCGTCGCTGACTCTCACAGTCCATTCTGTGCGCTTTCTGCTCTCTCAGTTTTTCTCCTGTGTCAGCTTCCTCCACCCATGTGGTTCTTTTCCATAAACAGCAGTACCTTTTAGTTCCTTCCCAACCTTCTTACACTGTCCCCCACTCTCAATCCTTTGGTAGGAAAGTGGAGGAAGCAAAAGAGGAACAACTCTTTGAATCTGTGTGCTTTTCTTTCCTTTCTAAATGACATCATATCTTCGTGTGTGTATGTGTAGCAGAGCTGGGGTACAGGCCAGAAGTGCAGGGGGTGAGAGGATTCCCCTGAGACAGAGTGGGGAGCAGAACAGGCAGATTTACTCAAGTACACTGCTGAGGGGAACAGCAGGTGGGTCAGGAGAGGTCTGCTGAGCCATGTGGGTCAGCTCCCTGGCCAGGGATTGAACTCAGGCCGTAGAGGTGATAGTGCTGAGACTTAACCCCTAGGCCACAAGGAAGCCGAGACAGATTGTGTTTTCAAATGTATATGTGATTGTAAGTGACATACCATAATGTTAATAACATAGGTAGGTGTAGCTATGATAGTAAGTGACTTTAGAGGCTACAAATTATACAAAGTAGTGTTTTATATTCTTTTTTTTTTTTTTAAATAAAAAGATTTATTTATGCATACAGAGCTAGGGTGTAGGTCAGAGGTGCAGGGGCGGTGAGAAGACTCACCAGAAACAAGAGAGGGGAGCAGAACAGGCAGATCTACTGAAATATACCGCTGAGGGGAATAGCAGGCGGGTCAGGAGAGATCTGCTTAGCCATGTGGGTCACTCCCTGGCTGGGATTGAGCTAGCGCTGAAGAGGTTGTGTCTAGCTTTGCAGTGCAGTGCTTCAGCCTGTTGTGCCATCAGGGATGGCCCTATATTCTTTCTTACTTCAAACTTAAAATTTTTAAAAACTTAGAAAAGAGAAGGACTCCCAGGTCAATAAGGTTTTGCAAGTCATCATCAGCTGTCAAGAAAGTCCTCTAGGTGTGGGGAGGCATTTGGGTCTTTTGGCTGAAATGAGATTTCAGGTTTCTCTAGATTTCAGTGATCTGTTCTGTCTTTTCTCTGGTATTAATCTGTCCTTTTCTGGAGGTGATTGTGATGTTAGTTTTTACAAGAAGATGTCATTTCCTGGAAGTGCTTGATTCATCTTAGGTAATAAAGTTTGTATGTGAAGAAACTTCTGATATTAAACTGGGGGTTTTTGGGGTTGGGTTGGCTTAATAGTAAGTCCCTTAAACTCAGCTGTATCTTTGACCCAAAAGAACAAAGAAATTCTCAAAGAGGGAAAATCAAGGAATTATCTCATTTTAAAGATTTGCTTTTGAAGAAAACAACATTAATTAGACATAAAATTTGCAAATCAATTAATTTTTGTACTAGATGATGCTTCTAGTCTGTGACTTCTGGGAGTCTGTCTTTTGTCATTAGCAGCCATTCCTTAACCTTCACCTTTCTTGCCTGACTCCAGCTTGCAAATGACGGCAGAGACACTGACTCAGCACTGGTTGAGTGTTAACGCAATCCCAGTTCACGTCTCTACAGGATGTATGTGCCAGAATGTGTGTTACTTCAGAAGCACTAATTAAATGAGATGTGTCTAACACAGCTAGATAAGAGGCTCCCCCAGACATCAGAGGGAATCCTCTCGGGTTGCTCGTTTATTGTCAAAAAATCTAAAGTATAGAAATCCTTGCGCTACTGGATTCAGAAAACCAGTTCCCCCTCTGACACACACGTGACTCATCCAGACAGCAGGTGGCCGTCTGCCATCATTGTTGAACAGAATGTTGCTCGTGTGTGGGTCATTCTTTACATTAGAGTGCAAGCTTGAATGTTTGTTGGCTAACAAAGTCCTGGTTTCCGCTGAGGTAAGATCCTTGGTAATTAGGGGATGGCAGCCCTTTTAATTGCCTTGCTCTTTTTACCATAGAATAAGATGATGATCCTATTTCAGATACTTCTCATCAGGCCCATTTCTTCCTCTGCTCTTGCTGGTAAATTGGAGACTTACCTAAAAAAAGAGTTATCTTCCCTGCATTTATGCATTTTGTCCCTCAAGATAATGGCTGTAATGTTCATGAGTGAAAAGCATATTCTACTCAGTAGGTAGAACATAAAGAGAAAATACTTTTTAAAAATGTTAAATAGGCCCTTCCTGGTGGTGCAGCGAGTCAAAGCACAGCACTAAGAAGCTTAAGCCACTTCCGCATGAGTTCGATCCCCGCCTGCCCCGGAGGTGACCACATGGCGTGGCAGACCTCTCCTGACCCGCCCGCTGCTCCCCTCAGCAGTGTACTTCGTCGATCTGCCTGTTCTGCTCCCCGCTCTGTCTCTGGTGAATCCTCTCACCCACTGCATCTCTGGCCTGTACCCCAGTTCTGTATGAATAAATAATAAAAAAAATCTTTAAAAAAATGTTAAATAACTTGTAATAACAAAAGCAGTAATTCAACTGCTGTAATTTGAATAAAATTTGGAAACATGTCCTTAATCAAGGATGCAGTCATACAATCTAGTTGAAGGATAATCAGATTTTGAAAGTCTATTGTATTTTTAACTCTAAAGCATTTAATTGATTATAGTACATACATTTTAAATTCTGGAATAACTTGATATAGTGGCCAAGACTATTTGATGTAAATTGACTTAGCTTTTCTTCTGCCATTAGCTTCCTCTGCACTTTTGGAAATGCCATGATAGTTCGTATAAGTCAAGGACCTAAAACACAAGAGTAAAAACCTGTTTGGAACTAATTTAAAAACAGATGTAGCCTTTGAAGGTGGGGGGTGGGGTGGTGCATCATTAGTTGACAATCAAACGCAGTGTTCAGCAGCCTTGGTATGGGCCTTTTCTCAGTGTAATGGAGATTCCCTGGACGTTTATAATATAGCAATATAAAGAGTATATGTCCAATAGGCACATATTTTGTGTACTAATATACATTGTATATCACATATATACACAAGTGTCACTAACATATTATTCCCTGGTGAATGATACTAGATCCCCAGAATGATACTAGATGGTCTAAGAATGGTGCCCTTGTTAGAAATTCAGCCACTCACCCTAGTGGAATTCCCTTCTCTGTTTTGTTCAATGACTGAGTAGAAGAGTCAGGAATATCTTTGTTTGAATTTCAGCTGCAACCTTTACAGAGTACCCTTGTTTCTCAGGTGACCAGATCTCTCCGCTGTAAAATGAGAATATAGATGCAGCCTCACAGAGTTCTGAGCTTAGATGTAACACAAAGCCCTTGGCACAGTCTGGCCTGTTGGCATGCTTTCCAGCGGCGCTGGCCCTGATGGCGGAGTCACTGACCTGCAGATTCCCTGCTGGCTCAGCCCGGGGTTGGAGGCCAGAGGCTGGCCCAGAGCACCTACCTCTTCCATGCTCATTTGGATTTAACATAGAGGTGACTTTCTGGGGACTCTCCAGGAGGGACCCACTATGAAGGGTGAGGGGTGAGGGTATGCTGAGCGTGCTGCAGCTACAACAGAAACTCCCACTGGGCCATTTCCCAAGGACGGCTGGCCACAGTCAGGCTGTCTCCTGTGAGGGGTGAGCCTTGGCTGACACTGCTTCCTTTCCGTTGGGGCTCAGCTGGGAGCTACATCCAGAGCCAGCACCCCCACGGCTGCAGAACGAGCGCCTCTGTGCCATCATGGAGCAGGATGGACTCTGCAGGCCCAGTAGCACCATCCTGTCTACACAGCCCAGCACCTGGCAGAGGGAACCCCTGGAAAAGTGTGCCTCCTCTCTCCAAAGGCTGCCTCATGCAGATGTCCCCACCCACAGGCGCTGGCCAGGGTGGCTGGCCCTGTCCAGAGGTGTCAGCAAGGTGGAGACGCTGTGCAGGGATGTCAGACAGCATAGGAGTCACCGCGCCCCCGGACAGCATCCCTCAGACTCCAGATTCAACACTCCCCCAGTCCCCGGAAGAAGATAAA